TTCTAGAGGAAAAACTTAAAGCAGCTACGTATGAAGACTCTAAATAGCTGAAGTGCTTTAACTCCATGTGCTAACAGCTGATGATACCTGGCAATTAATGGCAGCGGTAGTGTGAGGTGTCACTCAGCAAAGAATGATACGGGAAAAACAGAAATATTTTCAATATAGAGCTGGTTTTTGGTAGCAGAGTGCTGTATTTTATTTTCTTCAGCCAATAGGTATTGACATTTTAAATTCCTCCCAGGGCAAAGAAATCTTTTTCTGCTAAATAGTTAAATAAGCTGGATAAAAATAGAACCTAAACTTTTTTTGGAGCAGCAATGGTTTGGAATATACTGTATTTTATACAAATACAGAAAGTGTGTATTAAATCGTTCAGTACAGGTTCCTTTCTTGTTTGCATAGATAAATAATTTTGCATTTATAAAAGGGGTTGGGTTGTTGTTTTTTTAAAAATATCAGAGCTTTGTATGTGCCAGGTTCAAGTTGTCTAGGTGTAGCAAGACACCTAAATACTTGGGGTTTATTAAATGTAAGTTTCAGGTACAAGGATTAGTTCTGTTTTGTGATACATGTTATTTCATGTATTCTAAACTGGTTTTAATAATGAGTAACTATAGTGGACACAAAGGATCTTTTTATCTGGGTTGATTCAATATGTTTATCTGCTGAAGCTGTTAGGGCTACAAACTTAAAACATGTTTCTTTTGGGAAACCCTGTTCTGCAGATGCAGCTGTTGGGAGGTGGCCACCAGCACTCCATGCCTTGCTGAATTATTTTAGCCGGTTCTCCTCAGGCTGCCCTGCTTTATAACGACTGGTTTTGGCTCTCTTTTTCACTTGTGCGCGGTGACAGTGCACACTATCAAATGCATGGTCTGTCTGAGAGGCGATCGCTTGTTATTTCATTACCTCTTTGTAAAACGCTGCCCGAGGTATGTGTATTGCCTTACTGAGAGTGAAAAATAATGACAAAAAAATACTACCTCTGCTGTTTGCCAAGGAGGGAGGCCAGGAGCCCACCCATGCCATTTGCACAGTGACTTCCTGGCTGGGAGTTCGTGCAGGGCATCCGGCCGATGTGGTTTGTGCGGAGGGAGTTATCTGGGGAAGGGGGTGGATTTTCATGATGATGGCACAAGGCAGAGGAGGAGTGTTTGCTAACAACCCCAGATAAGATCTGGAGTTATTCACCAGCACCAACTTTGCAGAGATGTATTTTAGCTGGTCCATGAAGGGGGTATCTGCTCGGGCTGCAGAATTAAAACACTGCATGAGGTGTGACTTACCCACCTGGAAAGGGATGCATGTGCTCAGAGCCACCTTCACAGGTGATTTTTAGTCTGGGGTCAGCTGCGTGCCCTTCTTCTCAAACAGCTGTAGCACACTCTGTGGCCAGCACTTTGCACCTGCTGCCTCCCAGGTGCCTCCTGGTGTTTTCCGTATTGCAGAGGCTATGGCACATATGGGCATGTCCAAGGCCCAAAACGTCCCACAGTTTATATGGCTGTTGCCCCCCAAAGGAGATCTCCAGAAGCAGTGTGCTGTGGAGGCTTTGCGTACATTAGCTGTTGCCTTTCCAGCAGTTCATGGTCCCCTCACCCTCAGTCAGTATGGACACTGCTCCCTCTTTGCCACCCCCATGGGCCCCCAGTACACAGGGTGTGTGACAAGCAAAGCACCACAGGGTGCAGGAGATCAAGGCACCAGGTGTGAGTTATCCCTGATTTGTTCGATTGCTTCTTTGTAAGGTCAAATGCACAGGCATTACTGGGGACAAAATCCCATCTCTCTGTGTTGCCCACAGCTAGAGGCTTGGCGCTATGTGGCTGGTACAGCTGTAAACTTTGGAAATGTTGTTCTAAGCATTTTTTTTACAGAATAATTCAAATAGCTGTGTCCTTAGCAATAGAGCACTGAAAGGTAGAAGTGACTCTGCAGGAATAAATATGAGCAAGACAAATCATATGGCTCCATCAGAAAAACCCCAGCAGCGCTCAGCACATGAGCCTTAATGTGCGTTGGTCAATATCTTTTTCTGTATCAATGGAAGCTCATTAAAAGAAGATATTGCAGACTAACTGAGCCATGCCGTATTAGTTCTTGCCAAAGCTTGACATTTTTAATACATTAATAATATGTCTGTAATGTAATGGAAAACTATTAATCAGAACTGGTTATATGCCAGAAATTTAAGCTATAATTGGCTGCTTCTTGTCAGGAGTGTCTGTCGTACACTGCTACAGCTGCCTAATGCTCAGATGTCTTGCACTCCTCTGCACTTTTTCCTTGTCAGTGCACTAAATTCGATCGATGTTACAGTCTATAATTCTGTGTAACGACCATCATTATGACTCTGGCTTACTTTAATAAGAATTCGTTATATGGGAAGTATTTTAGCACAGCGTGTTAAGGTAGTAACTTACTTCACATTATTTTAGTCCTATCCAGTCCTATTTATTAGTGGATCCGAGTCTTAAGCAGTTATGAAAGGTCACGGGTAACTGAAAAGCTAGCAAGGAAAATATTAAAGAAAAGAAATTATTTTGGCATGAATATACAGTCTTGTAGTCTAAGGATAATTAAGTAACTTCTTATTTCTACACAGAAAAATAATATTCACCTACTGTTTATTCCAGCTATGACCAAGCCTTCTCTAATACAGAATGTTTTGATCTGTCACAAATTTAAAATAATTTGACTTTTTTCTTACCAGAGCAGTTGCTTCCCTTTTGTATAATGACTGTTCTAAGCTATGTTTTTTGGGGGTATTTTCTTCTCCTGTAAAATAGTAAAATACATTGGAAAGGACTAGAGGGGAAGAGTGTGAGATGTCTTTAGAATGACATGGAAAATGTTCACTGAATTACTGAATTCCAAGATAATAAGTAAACATGCCCACTGAAAACAAAAAAGAATGTAAGGTCACTAAAAAAGCAGTGGTACTACACAGTGTGCTTAAAAAAATTTCATTTTAATTTGGTCTTAGATATTTCTGCTTTTGTGTCAAATTCAAATTTGAAGCCTAAATGTATTTGAACTAATTGAGAATTGCTATGGCATGAAAATGCAGATACTCTCTGCGTATTCTGATAAAATATATGAGAGTTGTATGGTAACACTTGATAAAATGAATATAATGGAAAATTGCATTTACGTCCATACGGCAATTATTGTAAATTACTTTGCTATGGAAACACAATTCAACCATCTGTTGGCATTTCGTAGTGTCTGTAGTCTAGCTCAGTTTAAGATGAAGCGTTATTTAAATATAGGGAAGCCGTTTGCAAATAGCTTTGAAGGTAAGTTTTGAAAATGCTAAGTGGTGCACTAAGGAGCTCACCAGGTCACGTATCGTTTCCCGAGGTTTTGGGGTATAGGAGCATTCATTACCCTGACCGTAATTTAAAACTGGGAACAAGCGAAGCAGGCTACAAGGAGTGGTGACGTACAGTTGTTTCTTAACATCTGTTTGGTGGGTTTGCTTAGATGTTAGCAACCAGACACAAAGAACGCAGAGGTGTTGTGGCGACTGGCTGAAATCCTTATCCTGCAGGGAGCCCAGCGCCTGAGCTCTCCTCAGCTGGCACAGGCTGAGAGAAATGACTTGGAGTTCCTAGCCCTGGTTTTCCTTGTCTGTGTTTAGGGAACTTTGGCTTTGAAGTTTCACTTATAGATAATTTGCGTTTTCACCTGTGATTTTTAGCCAATGTATTTTTTAAGTTTGCCTAGGATTTTATACCTGTGTGATTGAGGTAATAAAAACCAAGGGAATTTCTAGCAGCTTTCTGAAGAGAGGAAAGGGGATATATCTACTATGAAACACTGAGTACACAAGTACCCCCGTGCCCAAACCTAGGAAAATAAGACTGCCATAGCAGAGAGGGAAAGCAACCTTATAGTAAGCTACAAATGAATCATTATTTTTATCAGTAGTTTAACAGCGTGATCAGTACAACACAGTTCAAAGAAGAAAAAAAAAAAGGAGCAAAGCTCTTCCAATGCTATTGAGAAATTTCAAGGAAACTGAAGCATGCTTACAATGTATTTGTTACTTTTCAAAAACAAACAAACAAAAATTTGAGAAATGCATAAAGCTGTTGGAGCTTGCTGAGGTCCTCTTGGTAGCGCTGATACCCGTCTCTGTGTCCCTTTAATAAAAGAACCTTCTTGCTGCTGCTTGGTGACTCTGGGCTGCCTGCTCCCCTGCCTGCACAATCTGGGCAGTGGTTGAGCTTGGTAGTTTGCTCTCCAGTTTTGCTAGGGTGAAAATACGGTTTTGGAAGCAGAAACCTGTAACTCACCTGGAATGTTATAAATCTGTCGTTGTTAGAGAAGAGTTCAATCCTTCATGTCAAAATACTTTTTACTGTGAATGATTTTGGTAGCTTGTTCATGCTAGCACAGCACCCACAGTAAAGGTTATCCATATTACACCAATTTGCTTTATATTGCATCAAACCTCCAAAATGTCAACATATCATATATTTTGTAATGCATTGATTCTTGGACAATAACTCTAGCTCTTATTGTTTCTAAAAGGGTGCTGGTGCCAGAGGAAAAGAATGATTGATGGGAAACAGACACCAGCCTGTAGACACTCATCCTTTTGCTTCGGATACTGACTTATCAGTGCATCTGGGCATCCCCTGCAAGCCCTGAACACGGAGGATCACTCAGGGTTATTGACAGTGTAGCTGGAGACCCACAACTTCACAAATTATTATCTGCTATTGGACATCTTTTACAAGAAGCCTTGACAGATAAATTATAAGACAAAGGACAAGTGCTGCGTTGCTGTGAAAGGCTGTCATCGGGGTCTGGATGACTTCTACCAAAGTCTTCAACTAAGTGAAACAAACACCCTATCCTGATGCTTCACGTTTGAGTTGGAACCTATTTTATAAAAAATATACATGCTTATGTATATATATGTATAATCTATAGATTGCACATCAGTACTGAGCATCCTTACAAAGGTGACATAAAAGGATTTAGAAATGTATTTGTCAAGATTCCTGTCACTTCACGCCCTCTGGGTTACCGTATCCTCTGTGATGCAGCACTACCCTTCCGTGTGGGGACACTATGATGTGTGTAAGACGCAGATTTACACAGAAGAAGGAAAAATATGGGATTACATGGCCTGCCAGCCAGAAGCTAGAGACATGATCAAATACGTCAAAGTGACTCTGGATCCCCCGGACATAACGTGTGGAGATCCTCCTGAGACTTTCTGTGCAATGGTAAGACAAGCTTTTCATTTTGCTTGATTAGTGGATATATGTTTGTGGTAGATGGCTTCAAAAGAGAAGCCCTATAGCACATGTATAAGTATCCAGGAAAAGCTGCCTCATATTCAGAACTTGAAAGGTTCTGCTGAACAAAACACTGAGGAGTACATTAAGCCGGGGAACAAGATGTTCCGCTTATGGGGCCATAGCTTGACTTTGTTTTAGTTCAGTGTTTCTCTAGATCAGCTTTTAATCACTTAAACGAAAGCAGCATAAAACTCCTAGCACGCTAACACCTAACTGGGGTACATTTGCCTGGATCACAAAAGACTTGAGTGAACTGGTTCCAGAATGGTCACCTGAAAGCATCATAGCATGGTATAATCCAGCATCATTTCCAAACATGAGATAGTTGTTAGAAACTCAAACTGCAGAAGCTTAAAAAGTGGTGGTAGGAGCTGGGCTGGTGGAGTTTTTCGGGCAGCATCTTTGGAGCCTTGCTACCCCACACAGCAGGTATACACACCTGCCTGTTTGGACAGGGCAGCAAGAAACACCCTCAGGTGGGGGCCAACTCTACCAACTACTGACGGCTTTCTTCTTTAACTGAAACTGTAGGCATTCAGGCCAACTAAGAGAGACTGAAGTCAAGCTCCTTAATTTAGATGCTCCTAAAATTAGAGACTAATTTTGGAAGTGCTGGGCTTGGTCAATAAGGTATGAAAAACCAGGCAGACATTAAATACATATGTTTTACAGCTATGCCACTCCTAAGTGTTTGATAGATCATGCTGTAAGAGGTTATATGAGTTAAAGGAAGTGTTCAACTTATGGGTTAACTTGTTTCTCCTCACAAACATGGAGAATTAATTTTCTTTGTCACTGAAAATTTCTGTTAAATATTGAGCGGAAAATACAGTATTTCTTGAAAATGTGAGTTTGAGCTACAGAGCATATGTACATACATCTATGAATAAAGCACTGGAAATGTACATCACTTTACCTACCAATAATTTAGATTTGAAAAAACCAATCAGTTTTTGTAAGTGAAGTTATCGTAACTGAGAAGAGTCTGCAAGATACTTGCCTGTGTATGAATCATCATTGCTGTGCGACAGCATCCCCACAGGAAGGAAATTTGCTTTTAAATGCCTTATGGTATCATTTTCAACCACTACTGTTCTGTAAGGAGTTCAGGTCCAACCACACATACATTTAGGGCATTATGTGCATGGATGCAGCTGCTTCCCACGTACATTATGGTAATAGCCACGTGATAAATTGTGGAGCTACGTGAATAAATTACATTAACTGTGAACCTCTGACTGCACCACTTGCTCTCTGCCCACTAATCCATCTCTGCTGATGTGGCTTTGACACTCTAAACCTCCGAGCAGTTTCAAGCAGCCACTGTTTAAAAACAAATAAAAGCAACGTGCCCCGTGTAATATGATCTTTATCTTGAAATGTGTTTTCTCCCTCAGAATAGTAATACTTGTGATTTAGCCCAGAATCAGTGATGTTTAGCAACTCATCATGTAAGTGAATAAGAAAAGTTGTTCTTTTAATGCAAAAGAAACTGCCCAACAAAACTTGTTTCTGCCTTTTAGTGAAGGTAAACATTGCAGCAGTTCTGGTCTTAAGTAATTTTTCAAGTTTCTGAATGCCTTGGTTGTCAGTCCTCTCTCTAGTTAGAATAATGATTTTAAAGGAAAAAAATTAAGACATTTTGATTAAATCTAAGTATTAAAAATGGTGCCAGAACTCCTGAAAATGTTTGACTCAGCAAAGTCCTTGATGCTGTGATCAGGGATGAAAGTTTGCTCAGGAGTCACCTGAGGTGACGGGTGTAGCTCACTTGCTGCTTAAGCCCTTGAGATGCAGCAGGTCACCAGAATCCCAACACAAGGAATAGAGAAAGAGGAAGAACTGTAGAGAGGGACAGAGACCACACACAATGGCGGAGTGTATTTAGCAATGTGACTGACTCCTACATGATGAACTGTTGTATTTGCTTTCAATATAGATGTATATTGTGCACATACACTATATTCATGTATGCATTGGTAATAGATTGATGTACTTGAAACACTAGGAAAATGACAGAAATATATGACATTCCTGAGGTACTGCACAGAAGCAGAGCACTCTTAATCCCTAAAAATGCTTCATGTCTGTATTATAGCTGCATGTAGAAATTATGCATTTCCTTCCTTCAAAACGAGTTTTTAGATATTTGTAGGGCTAAGCCTTTGGTACTTCCCAATGAGGAGATCTTTTAATTTTTGTGTTTATTTTTAGTTTTGGAAAGTGAGTTAAGAAGATAGCACTGTCATACTTGGAGAAGGTGGGCGGTGGAAAAGAGTGCGTTCCTGTTAGGCATGTCCTTGCACTAAAAAGTCCTGAATTTGAAATGACAGATACAAAGGTTTCTTTCAGCACAGTGAAGTGCAAAATTCACTTATACAAATCCTTGAGTTACTGTTGCAAGTATTGGATATTTGCATGCTAGACCTGTGTACCAGTGTGTAGTTATTGAAATCAAGTTAACGCTCAACTGTCTTCTGGTGATTCCTTGGAGACTGGGATCCTTTCAGATACCCTGACAATAAGCAAGGGTACCAAAGAGCCGAGCCTGCTTCTGCAGAAAGAGGAGGAGGTTGAAGTAGCCTCCTGTTTCATTTCCATATCAGTTCTCTAATCAGGCTTACTAAGTTTCTGTTCACCACAGACTACAGGAACTAAGGTGCTAGCTGTTGAGTCAGTGTCAGCTATCAGTGTAGTACAGATTATATCCCTGAAATACAACCAGACCGAGAGGTTAACCCAAGTCCTGCTGGGTATGGTAATTATGGTAAAATCTAAGGCAGTCTGTGAGAGGGAGATGATAATAATCTGCAATAACACAGTGCAATCATGCATTGCAATGCATGCAAGCATACAATACAGAGGAAATGGTCAGTTAATGGTAAAATTTGCCTCCTACTTATTTCTGCATATTACCCATGGAATTAAATGTTCTTACGAGTCCATTATGAAACTCTGTGAGCTTGTTGGCAGACCGAATACCGAGGTTTTGCACATGCAGATTTCACAGAATCACAGAACGTTAGGGATTGGAAGGGACCTCAAAAGCTCATCCAGTCCAATCCCCCTGCCGGAGCAGGAACACCCAGATGAGGTTACACAGGAAGGCGTCCAGGCGGGTTTTGAATGTCTGCAGAGAAGGAGACTCCACAACCTCTCTGGGCAGCCTGGTCCAGTGCTCTGTTACCCTCACTGAGAAGAAGTTTCTTCTCCAATTGAAGTGGAACCTCCTGTGTTCCAGCTTGTGTCCATTACCTCTTGTCCTATCATTGTTTGTCACCGAGAAGAGCCTGGCTCCATCCTCGTGACACAACAGATTTGTTGCAAAATGCAATGGTCCTCTTGTTGGTAGCGAAACTCAGCACATGGCAGCTCACCACTTGTAAGTACCTTTGGGTTTTCCCTGCAGGACAGCACCCGTAGGTATTACCGGGAACATGCACCAGCACAACTGTCCCACAATGGATTTTATGCAGTCTATTCTGAGAATAGCATTAGAGTTTCTGGTGACATTCAATGTTGACAACTTGTGAGATTATTCTGAATCCTCAAACCCTGGAGTCTTATAGTTTTGTGAGAGTATCAGCTTTCATCTAAAACATCATCTTTATATTCTTAGTCCTTCTGGTTGCAGAGAAAGGTTTGAAAATTAATCTGAAGCTCAGAAAGCAGAAGCTAAATAAATAGCCTTCCAGATTAATATTTGTTTAAAATCCCCTACGTTTTTAAGGTGCTCAGGATTTTTAGATCTTCGAAAGGATTTTGCTCAAGAGGAGAGACGCATCAAAGAAAGATATAAACAAATGAATGGCTTAGAGCAGTGAATGGTCACCATTTCTGGCTGTGGAATTGCTTGTGCCTGTAAGGAGGACGTGACAGCATCCTTCCCCAAGAGGTAGTACTCTTCCTGCCTGCAGGATAACCAGCCCCCTGTAGACAGGGTTGACAGGTCACCTCTGGCTTACCCGTACAATTTAAAGCAATCTCTGGCTGCTTAGAGTCAGGTCTGCATGCTGGCAGACAATGCACGTCTGCTTTCTGTGGCATTCCTTCGAGGAAATTTGGCTGTCCTTTATCAGTTGGACTGGATGGTCACGGCATTTGAGCCAGCGGGACCATTCCTGTGGGTAATTCATGAACTTTGAGGATTTGGCATTAGTAAGAGTGTGTCTGGCATCATACACTTACACTTAGTTGGCCTGAGAGGAGAGGGAAGGGAAAGAATAGAGAAGAGAAAGAAGCTACTTCACATTTTCAGAACTGCAGGACTCACTTTGCAGAGATACTGGAAGCAAATTTTAAAGTACCTGGGGATGCTAGTTCTTGTGGCCTGCAGCATTTCAGTTTACTAAACAAATCTGCTTTAAATCCGTAGGAGTAACTAATGGTGAAATCTCCTACTTCCTTCTTTGTAAGTGCTTGTTACAATTTCACAGAATTCTGTCAACTTAGAAGCAAATCTGACTTTTCATGACGATCACTCACCATCTTTTGCCCTACAGGAACAGTGCATAGGTGTCTTTCAACTTCTTTATTTCTAAAAGGTTTGCCAGCAGTGCCCCCGGTACGAGCATTGGGAGCCCCCACGATGCTGCTGATGGCTCAGGGGTCCCTTCTCCCCAGAACCACACCTGCTCCTGTGCTGAAATCCAGCCTTTAGCATGGGGTTTGCATTCAACCCACAGCCAGGATTAGTGTGCAAATTCATCACGAACTTAACCAGGGGACTCCTAGTGGCTATTGCTATAATTTGCAAACTGGAGGCGAATTAATGTTACCAACCTGTGTTTATGGCTGAAATGGCAACATAAAAATACAATTTTCTGCTTACGTTTAGACCTAGCTACCATAACACTTATCCCACATCCCAGCGGCTAATAAATGATGAAATTATTGGCAATTATCATTGCCTGCAGCTAACTTTC